TTGCTTGAAAAACAAACTATTCCAATTTTATTTAATTTAGAATAACAGTTTAAATTAAAGATACATGATCTATATGCTTTGTCACTAGACAAAAATAAACCATAATTTGCTTATATAATTTATCATGATCAATTAATGTTTTACTTACATTATATAGATCTCCAGTGGCATAGTACAGCCACGTTGCACCCAAAATGAGGTCATCACTATCCTTTGGAGTAGATTTCATGGACAAGGCAAAGTTGTAGATGACATTTGCCCCGTGAACCAACTTCTCCGCGTAGTTAATGTCGTCCTTGAAGACGATCGAGGCGGAGGCAAGGGCAGCAGCCATCTCGGCTGCAACACGTACGCAATCACCATTACATAGAGTTGAAGATCTTTGGAAGTGGATGTGTTAGGGCGGATCCAATAGTAACTGTCATTAAGCATTCCATTTGATATCCCTGATTTGACCTGATATAGAATTAAATAAAAATCATGGGTTTTAGAAACAGAAGAAGAAGAAATGGAGAGGTAAGAAACAGAGACACAAAGGATGGATGGAGTAGTAGAAAACTTTTAAAAACCTGAACAACCATTGAACTGATTGTATCTGCATTGCTTTGAAAAGTTTTAATAAAAAGAACAAGGTAAAGGCTCTGTTTCCCGTTCTGTAGGAACACTATTTTTATTCCAAAGCCACTGCCGTCTTCACCAAAAGGGTTATGAGACATGAAAACACCAAGACGTTCACGAACAGAAGAAAGATTCTCAGCCGCCTCTCCTCCTCTTGGAGTATCCAAATCCGTTCTATTTCCGGCCGTTCCACTTCAAACGAACTCATCATTTTATGACAACAAGAGATTGATTATGTTATGAATCCCGTTATGTAGGAACACTGTATTTTTATTCTTAAGAACAAAGTAAAGTTCTTAAATTAAAATATTACCTTGTTCTTAACTTAAAATATATAATAAACAAATTGGTTAGAATCCTATAGAGACTTCTACCAACATGATAATTGATTAACGTTTTTTTTATAACTTTCAAAATGGCGATACCAATTAGACATAGACTATTGGAACCAGAATCATGAAACTCTGTCTTTTGACCAAAAATTTACATTTTTGCCAGATTTTTATTGTCAAATACAAGACACTACTTTAACCACACATTTGAACATTCATATGTCTTTGTTTCTCTGTCACACACACTTGATTGGTACAATAATAACAAGTTCATCAACACTGGAACCTTACAACAATACAAGAGATGTCGTCTTTGCTTTTCTTAGAGATTGCTTCTTCTATCAACTCTTTCGCTGCCGCTTGTGGATCTTTTATGCTTTTGATCGTGTCCACAGCTTCTTGGTTCGACATCACCTGTTACAAACACAATTTTTGTCATAATCAAATTCAAATTCCATCACTCTAGTGATAAGATGCATATAGATCATTATCATACCTTCCAAATTCCATCACTCGCGAAAACAATGAACTCTGTCTCATCGTCAATCGTCTCGTGTGTGATGTCTGGTTCTGAGCTTAAATGTATCTTTAAGCTCTTATCTCCAAAAGCCCTCGCAACCGCTAACTGTCCATCAACTCTTGGAACATCCCCTGTAACACTCAAAGATCATCTATCAAAATTCCTCTTCACATTTTTGTATATGTGAGTAACTCTATTTGAGCTTACCTGGAATATTCGATACAAAGCCACCACGGCTCTCTATTTCCTTTTGCTCCTTGCTTGGTTCATGATCAACCGAGAGCTGAGATGCAACACCATTCTTTGACATCACTGCTCGTGAGTCTCCAACATTAGCAACCACTAGCTTTTGCCCATCAATCAGAATTCCAGTTACGGCGGTTGATCCGCCTTTGCCAAGTTTAAGTGACTGCTCTAATATCGCAGCATCTGTTGATATGTATGCATTCCTTATAGCATTATCCGTATCACTCCAAAAATCCTTCTGAAAAAAATTAGAGAAACCAGAACATTTTATAGATCACTTCACAAAATGATCAATCAATTTTAATCATAAACACACAAGATTCTTGCTTACCTCTTTGAGTATGTTGTCAAAGAGATTGGTCTGCAAGTACTTGGCCACATCATGCCCTAAGTGACCATCAAAGATAGCAAACAAACCCAAGTCTTGGCCGTCCACTTTCTTGAATTCAGATACAACATAGTCTTCCATCGGATGGCCTGCTTTGCCTTTGACAAAGTGAAAACCGTGCGCGATGTTCTTCCACATCTTGCTTTTACCTCTGCCCGTGTCAGCTCCGCAAATTCCAGCCTTCAAATATTCACAGGAAAACATAAGAGTTTATACAAAAAAAATCACACATAATTTTTTCCAAGAGATCCATGAATAAACCCATTGTCTCTTTTTTACATTCTTCAAACGAATTTCGCCATAAATTTTTCACTAAGAGCAACATATTCGATCCGGGTTTTCGCCTGATTTCTAGCCAAGAAAAGCATATACTGATCCAAACTGCAATATATCTACTGCTCAAATTACTCAAACAAACTCAAGAGACTAAGACAAGCTCAAGAAGAATTAGTCTCCAAGTTGAATCCATGTTTTCATTAAGGGGTAACATATCTAAACAAGCCTACCAATTCAATCACACACTTATACATGGAACATGCTTACAAGTTATAAACAAATAAGCAACTATCGGTTCTAAAACAGAACAAGAAGACATAAAAGGATCAGATCCAAATCAAGAAAGTCAACTTAAAGTCTAGAGTTGAGATGAGATTAGCATAATAGTACCTTCATCTTATGGAGAATTTCTCTGCCTGTCATTGTGATTTGTGAGAAGAAGAAAAACGATTTGCTTAGAGAGAGATGGATTTGTGAAAGAAATGAGAGTGAGGGAAGAAGCGGTTACTATATCATCAATATTGGTTCCATTTTTGCCGACGACTTTTCTTTCTTTTTTCTTTTTCTTCCTAACCTCTTTTCGTAAGGCAAGAGAAATCCATAAACAAATTCTCCCTTTAATGATCTGTCTACATTATTGTTACATTCTTACATTGCCGACACATAAAAAGAGACTCTAATATTATTTTAACATACAATACGTTGTTCCGTAAGTGATGGAAAAACAAACCTTATTATTATTGAAAATGTCCGACATATTTTATAATTTTTCCTATAGGTTAGGGTATCGTGTCATTGACATGTGAAGCGAAGAATGATTAAATCCTTTTTTATGATAATCTTTTTTTATATATAAATATATTATTCAAGACTTCAAGTTTAATTTTTTTTTTGTTTTTTAATGTACAGAATTAAACCTTACGAATTATTGGGTTGGGTAAGTGGATAAAAACTCGAGCCACTGTAATCACAACATATATAAAACACGCATTGTTCTTTTTGTTTGGTTACGTAATTAATGCAGTTATAATTGATTAAAATCACCAATATGTGAAATTCTTGTACTATTTCAGGATCCAAATGCTCCGCGTGACTACCGAAAGGTCGGAGACATGCTTCTTTCTATACAACAAACATTTCAACATCAACCAAGAGAATTCACAACTTCATGTAACCTTAAAAGAAGAATACTATTACTACTGGCCTTTTTAGTTTTGACAAATCACACCAATGGTTTAAACAAGTTCCTTAATTAAACAAGTCTTACTCTTTTCTATTCCAATACAAGTTTGCTTGCTCTGATCTTTAAAACTTTTAGATATTAAGCAATATCTAAAATTTGCTAATAATCGAAATGTTTACCATCTATAAAGTTTGGAACATATCTTAAATGTCATAATAATACTTTTTTGGCTCCAAACTGATGATTGTTTTATGGTTTACAAAATATAGTTCAATTAATCAGTATTTGGGACCCGAAAGAGTTTCATTTAAAAATATCTATACATTACACAAGCAGCTAAAAAAAGCCAGTTATTATTCAACACTTATTTTAAAATTTGACCAACATTTAAGAACATAGTTAACTATATATTTGGTGAATATATTAAACAACATTGTTAAATATATTGTCAACTTTTAATGTGCTATGCTACCGGAGAAAATCTTAGTTCCAGAGCAATTTTCTCAAAATCACACAAAGTAAAAGTATTTTTATAGAATTCTTACACCATTGAGCGTCAAAGAATCGGAGAGCCGCGTTCTTCGGCGCGACGGCTCTTCGGACAATTCCGACCAAGAAAAAGACGACGACGATGCAAATGAACAACCTCCGAACATTGAGCTTCTTCTTCTCCTCCTCCACTGCTCGGAGGAGCCAACTCCACTCGACATCGGAGAGTTGTGGCTCATGGTTGACTTAGCTTCTTTTTTGTTCTTCTGATACAGAGCGACGAGAGAGAGTGTTTTAATCAAAGGGAAAGTTGGGGTTTAATTTACGTTAAGTTAAAAAAGTTGGTGTTTAATTTACGTTAAATTCAAAAATTAAAGTTTTATTTGCGTTAAATTAAAAAGTTGGGGTTTAATTATCACTACTTCTTTTATTGGGGGTTTTTAGATGAAACAAAGATTTCGTAGGGTTTTTTTTTTTTTGCATTTTTCCCTCTCAGTCGGATATAAATAAAAATTTCTTCTAAGATTTCTTTATTTCTCCTTGTCCGTATGTTCCTATTTTAATTTTTAACATATCAAGAAAATGATAGTATTCTCGAGGGTCTAAGTGGGCCTATCTGTTTATTTTCAAATCGGTCCCTTACTTTTCAATTCTACACGAATTATTTTCTTGATTGCGTCTCCCTGATTTTACCATCGTTTTCACATTATGCCTCAAACTTTAACATTTGTTAAATGAGCCCAAACATATGTTGTATGCAAGTATGCTTTTGCACACTCAGAAACAGGCATTGCTCATGCTTCTTTTTGATTTTGCATCTCTATCATTTTTCTTGGTTCGTGACATTGTATTCACATTCAAATTTTAAATATTTGTTATAGATTCAACAAAAAAAAAAACATACTTATTTGCTAAGCTGTCTCTCTGAAAACATGGGCCAGATAATATTGGCCCACTTATACCTTCAGGCTATAGAACAAATTTTGAATTCCTTTTTTTGGTCAATAAATTTTGAATTTCTAAAGTAATCATTTTTTAAACGTT